CATCCAGTTTCGGAGTGCACACTAACCTCTTGCTGAGCTTACTTCTAGTTCGAGAGTTAGTGTACATGATGAAAAGATGTCAAGGTTGTCCAACCAGAAGAAGACGATGAATTCTTATTAATCTGAAACATTCTGGTTGACATCTTCTTTAGGGCAATCCAATTTCGCTCAGATGAAAATGCAATAAGCTTTTGTCTTTTATATCGCGGACTCCATCAGAACATCGTTATCATCATTCATACAAGCATATTTGAGCTAACGGGTTAGATAACTCGTCGATTTATCTATTAATGCTGCATATACACACTATATCTATGCTCTTTACAGAAGTATAAAATTAGATATAAAAAACTTCAGTCCACTCTGGATGAGAGCACATTTTGGAAAAGCACGGCAGTGAAATTCAATGGAAATCATCAGCTTTACTCATTTGATTGTAGGAAAAATCAACTACCACTATTTCATCAACATACACGAAATAGAGTGAACATGACTCATATCTGATTTAGTGGTAGTCTGGAAAACCTACTCATTTACGATACAATTATAAGGTCAGTTCGAGCTGTATATTAATTTCTTAGCATGTGCGTGTGTCTGTTTGTGTGTTTATGTGCCGTTATCTGTTCGCATATGCATGAAGCCAGGAGTGATAGCTCAAGGCAATTAGAACAGAACGAAACTTCTATCTTCAAGATTTGATGACTGACACCACCTTCTTTTTTCGTGAGTCCCTCAATTAAGTACAAAAAGGTCTTACTTAATTTCTTAGCGATACTGCTTGCATAATATATGCTGACTCGCCATTTTGTAGTTTTGTGCAGACATACTAAAATCAACAAAATAACTAAAAATATGAAAACCAAGATGTTGTGGTCTCCGGTATGGTCGCAGTCTCCTTTCGATTTATAGAAGTGGGTTGGCCTCATTGTCGCAACTTTGTCTTGTCGTCAGGGCGACTATGTAGAACGCACCTAGTCCGAAGTCGTCTGCCATAGTAGTTGTCATGATACCCAGCATCAGACAGTGGACTTGGTACATTCTCAAACGTATCGCCGGCATCGTAGTCGGCATCATCAGTGAGTGCCGCCATTCTAACACCAACCCACGAACTCGTCAGTGAGACAAAGATTGGTTTCACTTGTCTCTTTGACGAGTTCGGAGAATGGCAAAACTCACTAATGATGCCGACTATGATGTTGGCGAAACGTTCGAGAATGTACCAAGTCCACTGTCTGATGCTGGGTATCATGACAACTACTATGGCAGACGATTTCGGACTAGGTGCGTTCTACTAAATCGCCCTGACAACAATACCAAGTTGCGACAACGAAGTCAACCCACTTCAACAAAATGACACTGCACACTTTCAAGCCAAATGGAAGTGAGCCCAAAAAGTAAAAACCAGGAGACTTCGTGAAGCACAACCTTTTCACATAATTGTTCAGCTTACCTCCATTTCGAGTGCAAGTGTTTGCTGAACAGCTTCCAAGGTGGATCACATCAGAAGATGATGACATATTCTTCTTGAAAAGCTGTTTTTGAAGCAATCTTCCTCGATTCCGGTGAAAAGGGACTAATCTTTTGTCCGTCGCATGGCAAACATCATTAGGCTATCATCTTCATCATTCCTTCAAGCATATTCAGCCTAAAGAGTAAAGAAAACTCACCGACTTCTCCTTAACTGCTGTATATATAACATTTATCTAAGCTCTTTGATAAGATATAAAGTGATTTGGTTAGATCAAGTTACATGTCAACTTGGAAGCATATGAGTGTGTCTGTCTGTGTATATATATATGTGCATTTGGGTGTTTCTACCTGTCAGTAATGTTTTCACACATACTCGGATACATGAAGAAACATAAACACAAAGACAGACACACGCACACACTTATATGCCTCGAAATTGACATATAACTTGCATTAACCAAATCATTTTATACCTCATCAAGGCGCTTAGACCGAGGGTATATATACGACATTCACGGACAAGTGGTTGGGTTTTCTTGACTCATTAGCTGGCATCCGGTTGTAAGATTGATAATGATAAGGGTGTGATGATGTCTGCCGCGTGACGAACAAAAGCTGAACACCTTTTAACCGGAATCGTGGGAGATCGCCTCGGAAACAGCCACAACAAGACTGTTCCATTAAAGCAAATCGACAGCTGGTCAAGAGAAATCCTCCGTCATCTTTCGGTGGGGTCCTTCTTGGAATCTCTTCAGCAAAAACTGTCGCTCAAAATGGTAGTGAGCTGAACGATTGAAAACCAAAAAATGCCTCAAAACTCAACTTTTCTTCACATATCCTTTCACCTCTCTCTCCCCACCCTCAGGTCATTTGCCCTCTTTCGGCCCTTCTTGGGTCAACCTGTACGGCACACCACGTCTCTACACGTACTCCCAGTTCCTGCGACCAGAAGAGGAGTTGAACAAGAATCTGGGCGAAGGTGTGTCCTACCGGGGCCGTCTACTGATGGCGATCAAGGCGAAGCCGAGCGTAGACACCGTCAAGACTGGCAGTATCGTCAAGAGCTCGCATCCCGTCTCTGAGGTGAGTCGACTGCCAGTTGCTCCGG